GTGGTAGTGGTAGTGGTAGTGGTAGTGGTAGTGGTAGTGGTAGTGGTAGTGAGGTTGTCGTTTATCATGGTTCCACTTTTCCATCTTCCAGCTTTTCATGTTTTATTTATTGTTTGCACAGGTTCAATAGCCGTATCTTCTTGTGTGACTATCATTGTATTACTTGACTTGTCCAGTGCTGTATTGGGTTTCCTATTGTAGAAGTAGAGTTCGATTCTAAAAGGTAAATTTATATTATATGCATATTAAAGTCAAGAGAACGTTAAAAAATAGATTGAAAATATCATGCGTTTTGTACTATTTTAATTAGCTAACTAAAACATTTTTTTCTTATCTCTACACAAGTCTTGGCAATTGATCCTARGAAAGCTTTCTAATTTTGTTTTCTAATTTAATTTTTTTAAAGAGGTTACTAAGAACAGTAGTCGGTTAGCACCGACCCCATACCAGTACARTCAATGACAAAATCCTAATTTTAATGGTAACAAGACAACCAGAAGTACCCTTGGCGCCCCTTTACGACGACGTTTTARATGTTGGCGGCARCTTTGCTTCAGAAYCCCCCGATCAACTGTATCAAACATTGGACTTCAATTACMAACAACCATACCAGACATATCAAAYCTTGGAWGCCGCTGGATAAARTGTTAACTCTCCCGTGGAGACCTCAGTTTCAGATAATTAYYAAACACTACAAGGTGCAATGCCGCCAGCTATCTATGGCCAACTAAATAAGGTGGCGTACTGCAATGTAYATAACACTCAAGAAGACTTGGCAGCATAACCAGTAAATAAGTATAGATAAGAAGATTGGGAATAGTTTGCAATCAAATGAAAATAGTGACTCAAATCGTTTCTTATCTGGAAAGAAAATGACGGTTAAATTTAAGTTGGTGTAACAATTACTTGAGTTCAAGCTATATTGCCCATATATCCACTATGATAAAATTGTAGCAGCCGTAAAGACATGCAAATTTAAAGAAGAAATATCGTTAGAAAAATAAACACGGCTTGGCAAGATATTTCTAAAGAGAGGAAGAAGGGAACCGAGTTGCATTTATATAGGGTTATCAATAAAACATTCATTGTTATATGTAACTATCAACTAAGTTAAAGAAAAATATATATAAACACAAAACATTAAAAAAAAAACAAGATGATTAAGCACCCTTGCTGTCAACAAATTTTTCAATAAAAATAACAATGCTTTGTCTAAATTTCTTAACGTGGTAGGGGGGAGTTCTTATATAGTGCATTTTGAATTATCTTAATGCGCCACTGGTTTCAAATTTGAAAAAAAGCTGGAATCTTAAGCCCACTGTTCTATCAAGGCGAAGTTTTTGAACCATTTTTAGAAAGCCGTATTTAYGTACATCTAGCTCGTCCGTTCCTAGATGTCGTGTGTGAGTCTTAGTTCTTGACTGCATAGCCAACTAACATAGCTAATTGTGGAATCTCGACATTTCTTCCAGCACGTGAATGTTGCAAATTATTTATATTAAATCTCTGAAAATATCATGTCTTTGTTATTCAATTTGTGGATCAGTACTAGAATTTCAAACTACGTTGAAAAAGTGTTTTTTTCAGTAATGCTTTCTTCTTGGGTATTTATCATTTTAAAAAAGCAATGCATACGGTTGACAAAATTTCTTAGCTAACAAGATGTAGAAAATATCGCGAAACTTTGACTTTAGGCAACTTCACATGCGTCTCCCTGAAGAACCGAAAAGAGCGGGAAAATGGATTGTAACTGCTGTAACACAAAAACGTTTTAGATATGCACCGCTATAACTATTTATTTTAAATTATGATCGCAGATCGCCAAAACACCAATATCCATTGTTATATTTATGACCACTTATTTTATATGTGTTCTTGTGAGGCGTAACGGATTTCAATTTACTGACTTTTGGCGCTATTTGAGTACCGTAGAATTGGCGCTCAAAATAATTTCTTTAATGTGGCCTTTATGGTTCCAACGTGGTTGAAAATGGCAATATTCATCTGATTGTCTAAAAAACTCTGCATGCAGATATCATAGAATATGAGTCTCTCTCAAAGTATTTTCTTT